CTATAATGCAAAGTCGTACAGTCGTACGGTGTTTGATTTAATAAGATTTGAAATCAAACTTGTAATCTAATCTTTTAAGAATATAGGTATATTTCCGCTAATAATACAACAACTAATTAATTAATGGGCTAATAGGCTAATACACAACACAATAAAATTACTATTTCTTTTTTTTAGATAAAAAAATAATAAAATAAAATTACTATTTCTAATAGAAAAATAACATTTTAAGGATAAAATATTTGGAGTTCAAACATTGTTAAACATAAACAATATTAATGACGTTTAGTTCAACATATAGAGAGGGTTGGGAATCAAATATCTAACGCCTTATAATTGAGGACGATATTAATGATTTATTTAACTAATTAAATAAACCCACGTTGTCTTAAAACATAAAGTTGGTATATTATCAAAGGATAATAATTTATCATTTATTATATGTTTTGTTATAATTTATATTAATTATTTTTTTGAGTACTTATATTAATTATTTAAACCAAGTTTATTTACTTACTTTCTAGATTAAGCATATCATTGGGTCTAAAAGTACTCCACCATTATTTAGCTCTAATCCAAAGTCTAATATGTTTTAAAATTTATCTTTAATGTGTTAAAAATTTTAAGTTAAATCATTATTCAATAGTGTTATTAAAATTAAATAATTAGATGCTATATTGGAGATATAGATATAGTCTTTTACATAGACAATATCTAACAATATCATATTATTGTAAAAATATCGAGAGGTGGGCTAATCGATCCGAAAAATTATGGGTCGGATCACGAAGTTGTCCTTCAAAGCCCAAGTCACCACAAGGCTGGTGCCCCTGGCCCAAGCCCTTTTATTTGAAATATGAAAAAAAGTAATATTATTAATAATTTAATTCAACAAAAATAATGACTGATAAATTAATTATTATAGAAAAAAAAAATTTCAAGTTGTATCAAATTTTGAACTTTAAATTTAGATAAATATTGGAAGGTTTATTTTCAATTCAATTTTTAATAATCTACCCATTAATTTTAACTAAGGACCATTTAATATTAAATAGCTCCACTACAATTATTTACAAATTTCAACAAAGAACACAAAAGTGCTCTAATATAGTTGTTGTCTCAATCTAATCAATTTAATACTAAATATACGTGTTCATAATTCATTTGACACGTATAAAAATACATTTTTCAAAACTTTTACACATAAATTTATCGGCTTAGGGTGAAGGTTGTAAAACTTATCTAAGTTTAAGGTTCAATTTAATGAAACTGAAAGTAGTTTAGGTAAAAATTGATACATCTTCTCAACTTCATGATTAAAATTGATATTTTTCCTTGATTATATATCTACCGTTAAATATGTCAATATTCTTTTAACCTATTAAATTTATCTTCGTTGAACTAAAAAAATATTATTGTCAATATAAACATAACTTTTATTGATCTAATCACATATTCGTCTAAAAAGTCGTGAATTTGAATTAATTTATACATGTTATATTAAAAAAAAATTACTTAAACTCATTACATTATTTGCTAAGGGCAGATTAATGAAATGTGAAAAAGTTAGCAGCTTTTGTAAATCATTTTGGTGTGATATTTGACTCATATTCATATTTTAATGTAAAATAACATGAAAAATATTACCTGCAATACATGTGCTACAAATATCAATAATTCAAAATTGAAATTATTTGTATGTGACAAGTTTACTATTTCAAAATTTTCAATATCTTTTTTTA